AGCCAGTGCCACCTCCAGAGGCAGCAACGGGCGCAGGAAGCGATCCAGAGCCAAGCCGAGTCGCTGGAGCACAGGGAGCTGCAGGCTAGAGTGGCACTGGAATGCCTCACCAGCAAGGTGAGCGTCCCCCCTCACTCCACACTCCCACCTCCTCTTGGGAGACACTTCAACCGGTTCAAGCAGAGAATCCAAAAGCTTGGAGACATTTTTGGGTAGAAGCACTGCGGGAGCTGCTCCAGGGCACTGCAGCCCTGTGCTCTCGGGCCTGGCTTCCCTTTGCAGCACATCATTATCACGGTGCTTGAAGTGAGCCCCAGTCAAACTGCCCCGTTTCACATGGACAGACCTTCCATTTCAGAGCTGGCTGGTACTCTGTCCAGCTCTGGCAGTCCAGTCCCTGTGTACCCATGCAAACACCAGAGCTGTATGCACGTACTAAACACGCCCGACTCTCCCCTTTTATGCAGTTTGAGAGGTTCCGCAGCAGGGTCCTCGCGGCCGCGTTCGGCGCGGGGGGCAGCAGCCCCCCCCCGGCAGAGCTCAGCGACCAGCAGGTGCTGGAGGCCGTGCAGGTACGTGGCTCTGGGACTCTGCTTCCAGCAGCCCCCCAGGGACCGAGGAGGCGTGAGGTGGGTTGCAGTGCTGCTCCCCACCTAAGGGTTCCCCCTCCTCACCCCCCGTCTGCAGAGGATGGTGAGCGAGCGGGGCGAGCTCCTTCAGGCGCTGCAGCAGAGGGGGATCCCGGCACCCGCGCTGCCCAGCAGCGACACGTCTATCTCCTCACTCACCACTGCCAAGGCAAGGAGGAAAGACTCCTACAAGGTAGCGTCTTCCAACGCCTGAAAAGCATCACCAGCTTTGGGCTCTGGCTCCTCGGGTTTGAGATGGTGACTTACTAACAAATTAAACTCATTTTACTGAAGCCAAGTTCTGTGGGAATACCCAATTCCATTATTTCAATCAATCAGAGCACAATTCACTGCCAATCGTTGCTCAGTAGAAACATCTGAAGCCTGAAGCACTGCTGAGGAGGCTGCCTGGCTCTGAGGAGCTAGGACATGTGAAGTGACTGTTTTTGCAGCACAGCAGCTGCTCTGTCAAGTTTGCAGAGTTACACGACTGGAAAACTCACCAATGCCAAAACAGGTGACAGTGACAAAGGACTGCACGAGCCGTTTTATTTTCCCATTCAATACCCAAGTCCGAACACGGGGATGTATTTGACACTGGATCTAGAAGTTCAGTTTGAGCTGTATATACTATTTAACATAAGTCCATCTGCAGCTCGCCCGAGCTTACAGAAGTTTGAGTTCATACAGGGAACAGGCCAGATGTAAAAGTCACCCCCGGACTCCAAAATCAGAACTGCTCAGACCACCTGCATTCTGGCAGGTGTCCCCAACACTCCTCGTGTGGGAGCATCACAGAGAGCTCCAGGAGGGTCACGTCTACTCTGGGAGACAGGGAGCTTTAGCAGTGTCAACGTAAGGCAGCATCAGCCCTCTGAACAGAACCAAACTTCAGGAGCAAGGACAAATTCAGTGCTCTGTCAGCAGTAACTCAACAGGTCCACAACAGGGTGACTACAACTGGTATTTCCACACAGATGGACGATGGCTCCAAAATACAATGGGACACACAAACCCCTGTCACTTCAACTGACTTCACTTAAAACCAGAAGCTGCGTTCATGTCTGAACACAGAAACCAGCAAGTATTCCTCAGGTTCTGACAGCAATTAAATTTTCAGACATAAAATGATGCAGAATGAGGCATCAGGAGGCAGTTTTGCATCCTGTCTCCAGAACTGGCACACAGGAGAGGCTTCCCGTCCACGCTGTCACCTACTGGATTTCTCAGTTTAGCTGCCAAAATAATAATCCAGCTGAACCCTACCAGGGAGAACTAGTGATCTTGCAGAAGGAACACAACTGCGCTCAGTCTGTGAAGGCTGAGATGTCAGAATGATTTGCTCCACCAGTTAACACATCCTGACCTTAAAACCTTCCACCCAGTCAGAACATGGACAGCTTCCTGTTAAGGCTGGAACAATGCAACGCTCCTTGCTGTAGCTGGATCAGATTCCTAGTGTTTCCATACCCAGGCAGGATGCACTGCACCCTTGCTTTAAAAAACCCAAACCACCTCACTGTGTACAAGCTGCATTTTTGAATATGGGGGGAAAAATCATTAAAAAAAAAGAAATAAAGCAAACTCGTTCTCTTAGCTCCCACAGCAGCTAACGCATTACCGTCAGAAGGGAGGAGACTGTGCTGAGGTCAGTTTTTGAAGGATAAAGTACTTTCAAGTTTCCATCCATGTCCACCACTCGAACCTGCTCCACCACCAACGGCGAGTTCACTGGCTGCACATTTTGGCTGGGGTTCAAATTCACTGGTCCACAAAGAGCATCAGACTCGTTATCCGAGCCCGAGTCTTCCTTATCTTCCAAGGTAAACTTGTTCAGTTCTGCAATTTTCTGTTGAAAGCAAAACAAATCTGTAAAATCACTGAGAAAGTGTTCAGTGTCAAACATTTCCAACTGGGGTAACACAACATTCTTTACCCTGGTGAGTTTTGAGGTCTGCCAGTTAGTTAGGATACAAGAGTACAAAAACCTTGTGCGATATAGCAGGAA